ATGTTTGGGCCAAATCTGTTCCATCTTTGACCTTTGGGTTCTTTTCTTTTTAGGGAAACAACTATGTATACCTTTCTTGGTATTAAACATACACATATACTCACATGCACGATAAACAGTTCCCAGACTCGCTTTTCTGACAAATAAATCAGTACCACGAGATCTTTAAAATGTCAAACTTCTCATGGAGCACAAGACCTGTCACTGTTCATGTGTGCCTTTGACAGGACCCAAGACCTTCCTGATTGGCGTGGTTCCCAAGTGCCAGAAGGCTGAAATGTACAAGACACCTATTCAGCCTTATGCCTTCCCCACAGTCATCAAAATCCCCCCTTTTCTGGATTCTTGTAAGATTTACTACTGTGCCGGGCTGGGGGCCTCTCAGAAAGGTCAAAGAGCTTTCATCCTCCACTCCCAGATAACAAGGTGCCATCAAACTCTTCCCTAAGCTTGCCTGGAAACGTGCATAGCTGTCTCACGCCACCCCACACGCAGACTCATCGCCTTGCTCAAAAAGTCAGCCCCAAATAGCTTATACCTGAAGGAAGGTAATTTCTCATGCTTATCATAGCTTTAAGAAAGTATTCTCTTTTATTTTAATTTTGAAATTATAATATAATTACATCATGTCCTCCTTCTCTTTCCTGCCTCCAAACCCTCCCATGAATCCCTCATTGCTCTTTCAAATTCATGGCCTTTTTCCCCCAACAACTATTGCTATATGCATATGTGTATACACACACACACACACACACACACACACACACACACACACACACACACACACACATATATTCCTAAATATAACCTGCTCAGTCAGTATAATGTTGCTTATATGCATGCTTTCAGGGCTGACTATTTAGTATCAGCTAACCAATTGCTCTTCCCTGGGGCAGACTATTTCTCCCACTCCCAGCCTTCCTTAGTTGCCTGTGTAGTTCTTGGTGTAGGTTTGAGGCCTCATGATCCTTCTCTCATCCACTTTGGCATCTCTATTGTTGTCCTTTTTCAGCTCATATTTAGGCAGTCATGGTGGTGAGACTTTAAGAGTGTAGCTTCTAACATTACTAGGAAACACAGCCAGTCATTGTTCTGGTTCATAGGTATCATTGCCGGGTAGGACTATTGATTGGTTTGGAATCTTGCATGGCTTCTTCTGGTACCATGAAAGCTAGTTCTCAGGGAGGAGGCATTCAGGTCAGTTCTGAAAGGCATGATGTCTCCACTAATAGGGACTTACTTTCAACCTTTAAGAGACCACCAAGGGCAACAGCAATAGTCTGTAATGAAGGAGTGTTATAGACAAACCTGATCGACAGCTTCTCACTCCTGGTGTTGGGTTTTTATCAGGTAGGTGGACTTTGGCTCTTGGAGGAAGCATCATCAGCCCAGACGAGAAAAAGAAACTATTTCTTGGAAACCAAATAGAGTAAGGAATTCTTTGGGCATCTGATTAGACACGAGCTCAAATCACATGACTTTGTTGCTTTGTGAGCATGCAAGTATTGTGTTTTCTTAATCTGAATTCTCATCTGTAAAGTGGAAAGTGATAATAGTAAGAATATAACTTATATAAGCAAGAGCAAGTCTATTTTATTTTAAAGAAATGTTTTTATTCATTTTACATACCAACCACAGCTCACCACCTCATTCTTCCTCCCATTCCCCCCTCCCCACAGCCTTCCCTACCCTCGACCCACCCTCCATCCCCTCCTCCAAAAGGGTAAGGCCTCCTGTAGGAAGTCAACAAAGCCTAGTACATTCATTTGAGGCAGGACCAAGGCCCTCCCCCCTGCATCAAGGCTGAGCAAGGCATCCCACCATAGGTAATGGGATCTAGAAAGCCAGCTCATGCTCCAGAGATAAATCTTAATACCACTGCCAGGGGCCCCTCCAACAAATCAAGCTACACAACTGTCTTCCGTATGCAGAGGGTCTAGTCCGGTCCCATGCAGGTTCCACAGCTGTCAGTCTAAAGTTTATGAGTTCCTATGAGCTTGGTTCAGTTGTCTCTGTAGATTTCCCCATCATGATCTTGACCCGACCCGCCATGCTCATATAATTCTTCTTCCCTCTCATTGACTAGACTACTGGAGCTCAGCCTGGTGCTTGGCTATGGATCGCTGCATCTGCTTCCATCCGTTACAGGCTGAAGGCTCTTTTGGTCCAATTGGAGCTGGTGGGGTCTGTCTCAAGTCTATTTTAAAAGAAAGGAGCAAAACTCCACCCAAGTATGTAGCAATAGGAAATGAAGCCTGAGGAGACAGCTCAGTAGACACAGTGCTTGCTATGGAAGTATGAGGACACATGTTTTATTTCTTAGCACCCATGTCAAACCTGGACATGGCAGAAAAAGCCTGTAATCCCCTCACTGGGGAAGCAGAAACATGAAGATCCCTGGGTTTGCTGGCCATGCTGAATTGGTGAGCTTCAGGTTTAGTGATATTCTGTCTCAAAATATAAGAAGAGTGATCGAGGAAGACACCCAGCATCCACTTCTGGACTACACACACACACACACACACACACACACTCACACACACAGAGAGAGAGAGAGAGAGAGAGAGAGAGAGAGAGAGAGAGAGAGAGAGAGAGAGAGAGAGAGACATGTTTTCACTGCCTACTTATATGAAACAAGAATAAACACTTGAGGGATATTCAAGAGAAATAAGCAAGTGGGTACAACAGGGATGACCTGGTGATGAGCTGGTTGACACAAAATAATATGCAGCATGCAGTTCAGTGCTAGTTCTATGTAGACAGTCTGTCCCTGGCCAAGTTCACATCTAGGGTCATGCTGTCATTTTCTACCCTCTCAGACATTCCACATAAAACTAAGACTTGCCTGCAATATGATGGCCTTCAAAAATGCAGTGCGCTGGTGTCAGGAAATGACCAAGTTGGGGTTATTCCCCAGCCTCAGTCACCACCACAGCTCTGAGCAGTTTCACATGTGTGCTGCATGTGAATTATTCATTCAAACTCATGCTGGGGAGTCTCACTTTTATTATTAGCAACAACTTAACCAAAGTAGCGGACTCTGTGTCCAACACAAATTGACTTTAGGATAGAGAAGGAAAAACAACCAACTTGTCTACCACCTACTCCTTAGTCCTTGAAGCTGGAAAAGGACAATAGAGTTAGGAAATGATGATGTGACCATTTGCCAGGGAGCTTGTGACTGCTTGCTTATTTTGATTTTTTTAAAATAGGGACAAGTAAAAACACAAAATTGAAATCATTCCACTGAGCAGGTTGTGATGGGAAAGGGATGAGAGACTATTTTTTTTCCAGTAGGCTGAGATTTTTGTCTAGGCTCTCCAAGTTGTATCAACCTATTGATGGCTCCCCCAGTTGTAGGACTAAATCCACATAAGTTGTCATCTTTTTGTGTGTAACAGCCCTGACTGTCCTGGAACTTACTCTGTAGACCAGACTGGCCTCAAATTCACAGACATATACCTGCCTCTGCCTCCTGAGTGCTGGGATCAAAGATGTGTGCCACCATGGCCCAGCACAAACTGGCATCTTACTCATCCACTCTCCACATTCTTTTCTTTTCCAGACTCAGCTTGAACCCTTACCTTGTCTTTCATCCTCTCTCAATCTCTGGCCTTTCCCTTAACTGTTACAGCCCTTTCCTCCTGCTCTGTTAGCCAGGTTGGAACTTCCTGGTGCATCTCTGCTTTCTCTCCCTTCCAATAACTTGCCATTGAACATTTGAATCTCTGTTGCCTGTCATGTTTCTGCAGGATTTGGCGGTGAAAGCTGGAATCAACAGGAACTCTACGCCATGAATATTAAGTATTGATTTTTTGAGGACCTTGACGGTGGAGGGAAGGGAAGAGAAATGTGATATAAATTTGAGGACACAGGTGGGTCAGAATCCATCCAGCTCTATTTCAGACCACACTCTAGCTACTCCTGTAGTGGATTACCCGCATTTCAAGCTTGTACATGATCATGTAACACTAGGTGATTAGCGTCTTCCATGTTTCTCTCATCTTCCTCTCCCATGAGGTCCAACTCTAAGTCTCCTACTCAATTTCCTGCCTACATTTACATTTGTTTCCAACCTTCCTGAAAATAACTAGAAATGGCTTGCCTCTTCTGCCCCCCACCCCGCCCCGTGTCTGTCTGTCTGTCTGTCTCTCTCTCTCCCTCCGTGTGTGTGTGTGTGTGTGTGTGTGTGTGTGTGTGTGTGTGTGTGTGTGTTCAATTTTCTGTTTGTTTTAGCAAAGTCTCAGGCAGGCCTTGAGCTTGTTGGATTAGCCCAGGCTGTCCTCAAACTCAAGATTACTGCAGCTGCCCCCCATCCCAGTGTTGGAATTTCAGGTATGTGTCACATCTCACACTTCTTTCCCTACTCTTAAATTCTGTGACCTCAGCTCCCTGCCACGCTGTTTTGTCACCCACCTGTGTCACATTTATATCACATTTATATCACATTTCTCTTCCCTTCCCTCCACTGTCTGTTCCTCAAAAGATCAATACTTAATATTCGTGGCATAGAGTTCCTGTTGATTCCAGCTTTCACCCCCAAATCCTGCTTTTGCAAACTGTGAACCACCGCATTTCTGATCATGCTGTTCTTCATCACAACCTCACAGGATCGGGGTTTACTACCAAGTCACACAATGTACCGGAGATGCCTTTGGGAAAGGCAGGAAAAAACCTATAGGATTCTTTATTAGTATGTCAGTGGAGTAGGAGAGGAAGAGAGTTGGTACACTGAAATTTCTTTCTTTTTTTAAAATTTCATACTTTTTATGTAATAATGTATTTAACTTTTTCATGTGCATTGGTGTGAAGATGTCAGATCCCCCGGAACTGGAGTTACAGACAGTTGTGAGCTGCCATGTGGGTGCTGGGAATCAAAACCTGGTCCTCTGGAAGAGCAACCAGTACTCCAATCCCATTCGCAGAGGAAGAAACTCATTGTCCCTAAAAATCCCTCAAGGGTAGAGGTGGTGCCCAGACAATCACTATTTTCTGAAGGTGGGATACACTTTTGCATGCGTCCATCCGAGCTGCGCAATTGTGGGAAAACAGTATGCTCTCCTCCTGTATGGAACACTACTTTTGCAAAAACAGTGGCTTGAAGTGGCATCCATGAGATTTAGATGGCCTTAAAATCGCAACTGCTGTAGAAATCCAGCAGGCTCACCAAGGCATGGGGCGTCTGCCCCTGTCCTAGACCGCAAGCTCCGGCCCCCAGCTTGGGAACCCGCCGCTGGAGGGCGCCGAGAGCGCGCTGGCCCTCGGCTGGAGAAGGTCGAGCGCGGGACCCGCCGCTGTAAGCCCCAGAGCCGCGGGATCACCGGGCCGCACAGGACGCCAGGACTGTCACTGTGGACGCGCCGAGCTCACCGACCCGGGACACCGGCCTCTGGGGAGCGTCAGGCCTTTTCCTCCGGACTCCACGACTCCCGATCCCGGGTGGGCAGCGTTCGGGGCGGAGGGCGATGTCTGCGGGAACCCACCGCGGTCCCCCGGGAAACCGGGCGCCTCCGTTCGCGCGTCTCTGTTGCGTCTCGGCCGCGCTGGGGATGCTGTGGTCCCCCGCGTCGCTGGCGTTCAATTTGGACGTGGACAAGCTCACGGTGTACACTGGCCCCGAGGGCAGCTACTTTGGCTACTCACTGGACTTCTACATACCTGATGCGCGCACGTAAGTCGCTGGGTTGGGTTGGTGACGCGCTCCCGGGTCCCGTCCCAGTTCTTCCTCGCCGTCCCCGCAACCTCGGAGGACAGGGTATCTGAGATTCCAGCCAACTGCCCACTCGGGGTCGGATTCTGCTCTCTGTCTGCTACCAACTTCTCTCATGGCTCATGCTAGATAGACGAGCCCTGTGAACCTTGGAGACGCTCCACTTGTATGTAAGTCCGGGTTCAAAGACAGGAGTTTTATACAAAGGGGAGAATGGGGCCAGACAGACTCAATTTAAAAATAAAGACTACAACACAGTCTGTTTCTACTAAGCTTGTATCAACTAAGGTCAGGGTGCAAGCGCCTTAGGTTGCAGGCGGTTGGTATCTGTGCTCTGCTTTCCCCATCAGTCTCCACCGACCTCCGTCTAGATATTCAGAACCATTAGCAGCCTCTTTCAAAACTGATGCTCATAGTCTTCCAAAGAGGAAACCTAGTTTGACAGTCTTTCCACCGTAAATCTGTTTGTGTCCCCTACCCCTGCTGCAGTCGGGTGGGCACGCTGCTACGGACTGAATTTCGTGCGCACAGGTTTATGATCCCCGAGGAGTGACTTTCTCCAACCCTTTTGTAGAGCCAGCGTCTTGGTGGGGGCGCCCAAAGCCAACACTAGCCAGCCGGATATCGTGGAAGGGGGAGCTGTCTACTACTGTCCCTGGCCGGCAGAGGGGTCTGCACAATGCAAGCAGATACCGTTTGACACCACCAGTAAGTGATGTTTTCCTGCACTGTGGCCCCTGGCTCATCCCCGCAGAAACTTTGCGTTCTCTTTGCCCTCCTAACGTAAATCTGAGTGTTTGGGTGCAACTGGTAACTTCCGTGTCCTTACTGTTCAGAGGCGAGCATTAACCGGGGAGTAGATGCTTGGGAGGAATGGAAAGATACACAACTTTGTGGGGGCGTGGTGGCACACGCCTTTAATCCCAGCACTTCATTGGCAGAGGCAGGTGGGTCTCTGTGAGTTCAAGGTCAGGCAGAGTTACCACCTTACCTTGACTATAGAGGGAATTGGGTTGTTCCTCAAATACAGATTTGGAAAAAGACTCGCTTCAGAACATTTGTCTTTCTCTAGTTCCCAAATCCAGAAGCAAGACTTCCCCTGCAGCAGATCCAGATTGCAACCTGGAGTGCTTGCCGTTCTAATTCTTTACAGAAAGAAAGAATTTTCTTTCAAAGTATTGGTCATTGAATGCAAAATACTACAGGCAGAGTGTGGATGGATTACATTCATTTCCAAAATCCCTAGACAGATGTTTCTTATTTAATTAAAAAGAAAATACATTTTAAACAATTCAGTCTGGTTATGTTTCGTCTGCTGTTTTCTCTTTGGGTCCTAAGAAAATAATTTAAAAGTAATGTTTTGGAAACATTATCATCAGTGTTTTAGCTTATACCACCCAAATGTTATCATTCAAATGATATGTATTATCAGAGAATAAATATCTCTTTTCAAAAACGCAAATATGTCAGATCAAATGACAGGGTTTGATGGGCAGTTGTTTAAAATACCTTGTACACGGCACAGTTATTTTATGACATCATTCTTGCTTTCCCTGTGGTTCTGTGGTTATCTAGATGTCATGCATCTAGAATTTATACAGAATGTCCATTTTCACAGAATTTTGATGAAGTTGATTGGGTGGTATGTACTTGTGACTTCAGTTTGTATCATTTATGTTGAGGGGGAAATAATCCCAGGACTATGAATATGGGAATAATTTTAAAGAAAAAAATTATACAACCCTTACCTTGAATTATGACTCAATTAGGAAAATATTTTATAAAAGCATTTTTGAAATTGTATTTCCATGCCCATCTATGGTCACAATATCTTGTTTGTTATTTCATTAAATAACTCAGTTATTTAATGCCAGGTTTATAAGCCTTTATTTTTTCACACTCAAGTTTAGCAACTGGAAAATTTAAACCTTTTGTGAGCAAAACCATGAAGTTTGAGCTCCTTACTGGTCTGTAGTTTAAGAACACATTTCTGGGAAGATGGCTCAGTGGGTAATGAGCTTGGAGACCTGAGCTGCAATCCACAGCACCATATCAAAGCTGGGCATACTGAGGTGTGCCTGTGACCTCAGCTCTTGGGTGGGTGGTAGGCAGGAGGGTTTAAGGTGCTTCCTGAGCTGATCTCAGCTAAAACAGTGAGTTCCAGCTTCCTTGAGGGTCCTTGCCTCAAACAATAAGGCAGAGAATGACAGGGGGAGGATAGACCCTCAAACTCAGGCTTCCACATATGCTACTTGGGTAAACACATCTGCACACACATGTGCTCACATGCAGATACCATATACACATACACACACAAAGACTTCATCTAAGATTTGATCAGATAAGCATGAAATCAATGCCATTTTAATTATATGACACCAGAGAATTTGTGTTTTTTTAAGATTTATTTTTACTTATCTGTGTGCATGTTGTATATGCTGTGTATGTTGCATGTGTATGGGTGCTCATAGAGACCAGAAGAAGTTGTTGGTTCACCTGAAGCTTCAGTTATGTGTAGATGTAACCAACCGTCTTTTTAAATAAGAAACACAGAACCAATGCAAAGAAGAAAGTCCAAGAGGTCAGAGCTAAGAGCTAAACCTTACCCTTCCTCCTGCAGTGGTCTTACCTCTCCGAACCAGAGCTACTTTCTGTGTTAAAGTCCTTATATAGAATTTCTGTTCTGCCTTCTCATTGGTTGTAAACCCAACCACATGACTGCCTTGTCACGGCCTGCCTGTATAGACCTCCAGGTTTTCCATGATTGGTATTGAGATTAAAGGCATGTGTATCCAATACTGGCTGTATCCCTGAACACACAGAGACTTACCTAGCTCTGCCTACCAAGTGCTGGGATTACAAGTGTACGCCACCACTGCTCGGCTTTCCTATGGCTTGCTAATAGCTCTGACCCCCAGGCAACTTTATTTATTAACATACAAATAACATTTTAATACAAATAAAATATCACCATAGTTATGGGAGTTGTGAGGCAAATGATGTGGATGCTGGGAACTGAACTCAGGTCCTCTGGAAAGATAACAAGCAGTCAACAACTCAGCCATTTCTCCAGCCACTAATCTACATTTTTTTTAAAGGTAATTTAAATTCAAACCTTGACACATAAATATACAATCATGGTACTTCCTGAATTTGCATTCAAGAAAGGAAGCATTTCAATTTTGAAATGGTTGATTTAATTTTACCAAGTAGCAATATCTAGTCATACAAATGAATTTAATAACTTTCTAGAACATTCTGCAATGCATGAAGTCAGGATGTAGTTAGCATTTTCTTTTCATTTGCTAGAAGAAGAATTGATGTTTGCCCAGATAAGTGATACCTGAATATCTTTGTAAGTGTTAATCTCAGCTGATGTCATGATTTAATAGATAAAAGCCACAGAATTCAGGCATCAAACTGACTTTTAAATTGACCTCTTCAGCCAAAACTTTCCATGTTAAATTACAGTAGTTAATATTTTCCAACATTCACTCTAAAGCAATTGTTTGGGGCTTTGAGTTCACTTTTCTTTAGCAACCTAATGCGGAAAGCTTGTGTTTGGATTTCCAGCATGGCCCACAGGAGTGCACTTAACCCATACTGTAGCTGAATTTGTATTTGCATCAGAACAGAAGGGGAGAAGTTAGGACAATTTGGGCAATTGTAGGAAAATACTACCAAGAAAAGACCATTGTTACTTGGAGAATGTTGAAGGGGTATATGGCTTCTTTGTATGGTTCTGAAGAGATAGCAAGTTGTCTCAGCACTAGGGCATTGGGGTTGTTTTGAAAATGTATAAAGGATTCCTGTGTTGTTGTTTGTGTATGTGGACGGTTAGGAATCAAGCCCTGTAGCTTTACGTACTAGGCAAAAGCTGTGCTACTGAGCTGCCTCCCCAGCCTCTAGCTGTAGAGAGGTTTTTCTTGATGGAGAGATGCATCTATTACACTTATCAGCCATAATCATAGTAATTGAGAATTCATAAATGGAGCAAAGTGAGGGAATGGAAGGGAAAAAGAAATGGATACGCCTGAAGTAATTACACAAAAGTATGTGTGTGTGTGTGTGTGTGTGTGTGTGTGTGTGTGTGTGTGTGTGTGTGTGTTTGAATATGTCTGGAGACCAGAGCTGACTCTGGGTATCTTCAGCAATTTCTCCCCACCTTCATAACTTTGAGTTAGTATCTCTCACTGAACTTTGAACCCCAAGATTTGGCTCTCTTCCCTGGCTATGGAGCCCCATGGATCCCCCTGTCTCTCCCTCCCCAACCCTGGGAGTGCTCTTCACACTTAAGCGTCAAGCTCTCTATTGACCAAGTCTCCTCTGCTCCAAGAAGATTATATTTTCAAAAGCAGTGGGAGTGAGGAAGGCTGCACAGCGTTTGAGAGGAATGAAGGGTTCAGGCTGGAATTAATACTCTAATGACCTACGGAAGAGAGAAATCTCACTGAAAGAGAAGATAGAAATCTCTGCGAAAGAAAAAAAATCCCAGTCTCAGCCAAGAGGGGGTACTGTGAGTCCAAAAACAGGGTTTTTGTTTGTTTGTTTGGTGGGTTGTTTTATTTTTTATTTTATTTTTTTAAGTAAGGAGGAGGTCCGGATAGGGAGCCAGAAGCCCAGAGCTCAGGTGTATGCTCCTGAGTAGGTGCTGACACTCCATACATAATTTGTCCAGTTATTCTATTCGCATGGCCCAGGAGAGTAGAATTGACAGTAGCTGTCATTTGATGCAAAGATGTGGAAACAAAGAAGGGACAGCAGAAGCCCTCAGAGTTGTTTTCTACTTGAGCATGGACTTTGTGAGCAGAGGGGACTCTGAGCATCCAGGCTGAAAGGTGGCAACAGGCACCGCCAACTCTGGGTCTCACGGTCAGCGCTGGAGATGCATGAACTTGACTGGTGACTACTACATAGCAGCCCCTTTGTGCTCATGTTCATCGTTCCTAATCTCTTACACAAAACAACTATGTAAAACTCATTTTGTGAATCAAGAAACCAACCCCCAAACTAGGACAGAGACCATATGATGGCACAGTAGCAGCCGTAGGCTGTTTTCTGAATTCGTTCCAGAAATGGGAGAAAGCTGCTCTTCTTGGAACGCAAGTTCAGGATCAAGACTGGGTCTGTTGAGTCTAGGAAGCACTGTGCACCTTCCCTCCATTTACTCTCACCCCACCCTCATCTGCCTACCACAGCTAGATCTGCAAATCCCAATGTTAATGTCTTCTTCCTCCAAGAGGCTAAACTAAGAGGCAATCTGGAGAAGCCAGAGGTTTAGAAGAAGGATTGTTCTTGGTGGAAATTATGGGCTGGAATGTCCCCATAATTTAAGTTCCCACTGAATCTTTGCTCAGAGTCCCCAGTGAGTTACCTCCTGAGTTTTCCTAGGAAAAGGAAGGCAATGCATTTTCTTAAGAAAATAGGGGCTGTGACTTAGAGACAAGAGCAAGGTGGCATCCATAGAACAGTATATAAAGTGTCAGGCATATATGTGCACTATGTCGCCAATATTCCCCGCCACGCTACCCACTATTCATGTCTTAACTCTGCCTGCTTTTCTCATTATATCTCAAGGCAAGACACCCAAGAAAATCTGATTTTTCAATGAAGTTGTTTCAACTTGTCTTTGGGATGTCTGCTATTTACTGTTTTGCTGCTGTAACCAAGTGTTTTCAGGTTAGACACTGAAGTAGCTAGCCACGTAA